GTCCTTCTATTCTGGGATGTCACATAATCCTAAATTATTCAAAAAAGAAATTCATCACATCCTGACTATCAATGATTGAAGTGTAACTTCCACGAACATGAAAAAGGTTCGAGAATCACACAACGATATCTAAAACCAACTGGAAAAATGGGCGATGTTTTGAAAATGTAAATTACATGGTTAAAACAAACCAACCATATTGATGGTCAAAGAATTCCCATTGCAAGTGAAACAAGGTGCAAATAACATAGGTATGTTATTTCACTTTAAGGTACGCACACAAGTGTTCAAACCCCCGATTATAAGCTCAAGAAAGGAGGTAAATATGTGAAGGACCAAAAATATAAACTCGCCAAAGAGATGATGCTCAAACCCAGTGAAGGGAAATTGGAATCCATAATTTTTTGAAAGTAACATTATACATGAGAAAGCTATAATCAAGATGCCGACCACATATACGGCCTTCGGGTGCAAGGACAATAACAATCCATTGATCGTGTTTCCCAAGTGTGGCTAAAGATTAAATGAATGTATTATAGATTAATCATAATAAGGTGATTATGAGCCAAAATCCACAATATCCCTAGAGCCTTATAATTTATGAGGCACAATGAGACCGCCAAAAGGAATTCTAGAAACTCCAACCATGCTAATATCTCCATAGAATATGGTCAAATCATAATAACATATGACACATTATTTCTTCCCCATGCCCAACAAGGATGACTACCATATTAGCAGATTCTTCAAGTTTTAAAGGATTGCTAAAAGTGGGAAGAGAATGGACGATACCGTAAAAAGGCATCACCACTAGATAAAAGCATTTTTTGATCATTTCACGCCAACACTAAATAGATAATGTCACCATCAATAAACCCACTCACTAGACTGCAGAACATAAAGGAAATAAACTGGTAAAGAAGAAGGAGGGAAACATATCTTTAGGAAAAATGACAGTAGTGGCAGAGAGTTAAAAGCAACAACGAACAAGTAATCAAGTTATAAGAAATAAGGAAACTTCAGAGGAAATATCCATAAACTAGAAAACACTAGAATAAGGGCTTTGAAAAGAATAAGAGAGCGAAATAGGGTAGGAATCAAAGAACCCTTATTCATATGAGGCCTTTTGAACTAAGTTCAAATATCAAAAGAAAAACTCAAAATTCAGAAAAATGAGAAACTATTAACCAAGGGTTGTGTGGCTTCACCAAAGATACATTTCCCATATTGTAATCACACAAAAATTCCCCATATCGTAATCACTGTGCCTTAGTTTTGGGAAAAAACATTGAATGTGTCCTCAACCTAGAAATTCTAGCATCATGCCCACTAACCAAATGGCGACATGAAGGGACACCAACAATATAGAGTATGTCAATAAAGATACCACAACTAGAAGATAAGACATAAGGGCATAGGATGACGGTCCCTCTACCAATAAATAAAGTATCGCCTAACTGGTTCACATAAATTTTTATTGAGTCGTTTGAAGAAGTAAACAAAGTAAAGTATGTTAGTACTGAGAGAAAAGTATAAATAAGCTAAATACTTACAGTTTCATGATAGGTCTGCTCACCAGGGATTCAAAACATACCATGATCCATTTTCATCGACCTTGACTTAGGGATTATTGTTTCAATATGGACCAAGGCGCGATACACTTTGGTCTAGTTTGTTGAAAGTCCATCTCGGGGATTTAAGCCAAAGGTCATCGGATCCATCCAATGAACAAAGGGAAATCCCTTATAAGACATGCAAGTTTGGTCGAGGTAGAAAGGTTGATGACCATGGCGTGACTATGCCCTAAAAACGTAGAATAAATTACCGATAAAGCATAGGACTATCATATATGAGTGTCAAGAGATATTAATGTCACTCTTCTAATGACATGTTCATTGCATCACTTCTTTAGAAAAATTGTCCACCAAGAATGTTCTAGAGGGACACATGATTAGAGCAATTAAAAGGAGTAATCCATTATATCAAAATATATATAATCCTCTATATTTTTTTCTCTAGCACAATTATCTAAATAATTATACTATAAAAAAATTTAACAGATGGTCAATCAAAAAATACACATTATTTTATCTCTAAAAGCTTCTTATTTTCTATCATCACTAATTTGAACTAAGGGTGTTTATGGTTCATGAACTGCATTGAACCGAACCATATTTATGATTTGATTCAGTTTGTAATAACTACATCAATAAAAATTCAGTTAACTGCTAAAATGGTTTCAATCTAATTTAAAACTAGTTTAGAACTAGTTTATATTTATAATCAATTTACAATTCTAAATCAATTATATATTTTGAATTCTTTTAAAATCAAATATTTTAATTTCATAAAATTTTTATAAAATTTATATTTAAAAAAATATTCTTCAAAATATATATATTTTTTTAAAAAATATGAATTTTATAAAAAAAAATATTTTCAATTTTTTTCCTTCATATTTTGTATTTTCAAAATAAAAATCTCGTTTTTCCGAAAAAGAACTTGATTTTTTTTTCATATTTTCGAAAAAAAACTCTATTTTCACATTTCCAAAAAAAAATTGATCTAATCGATTTTTTTGTATTTTCAAAAAAAACTTGAATTTCTATATTTCTGAAAAAAAATCTCGATTTTTTGGTATTTCCGAAAATACTCAACTTTTTAATATTTTCAAAAAAACTTGATTTTTTCATATTTTTGGAAAAAAAATCGATTTTTTGTATTTTCAAAAAAACTCTATTTTTTGCATTTCAGGGAAAAAAAAATTGATTTTTGTTTTTCCAAAAAAATGTCAATTTTCTGTATTTCCAAAAAATCTCAATTTTTTATATTTTTGAAAAAACTCAACTTTTTCATATTTCCGAAAAAACTCGAGTTTTTCATATTTCCGGAAAAAACTCTATTTTTAAATATTTTCAAAAAAAACTCGAATTTTTCATATTTTAAAAAAAAATCGACTTTTTCATATTTCCAAAAAAACTCGATTTTTTATATTTTTGAAAAAACTCGACTTTTTTTATATCTTCGAAAAAACTCAATTTTTTTCATATTTCCGAAAAACCTCGACTTTTTCATATTTTCGAAAAAACTCGACTTTTTCATATTTTCGAAAAAAACTCAATTTTTTTCATACTATAAAAAAACTCGACTTTTTTTATATTTTTGAAAAAACTCAACTTTTTTTATATTTCCGAAAAAGATCGACTTTTTCATATTTATGGAAAAAAAATTGACTTTTTTCATATCTCCGAAAATACTCAATTTTTTCATATTTCTGAAAAACCTTGCATTTTTCATATTTCAGAAAAACTCCACTTTTTCATATTTCTGAAAAAACCCGACTTTTTCATATTTCCGAAAAAACTTGATTTTTTTATATTTCTTAAAAAATTCGATTTTTTCATATTTCCGAAAAGTCTCTTCTTTTTCATATTTATGAAAAAACTCGACTTTTTCATTTTCGAAATAACTCAATTTTTTATATTTCCGAAAAAAAGATATAGAATTTTGATCTTATCTGATTAGAAGGGAATCGGTTACCTGTCACACGTCGTTGATCTGAAGGTTGTTCACCAGAAGTAAGGAGGAGGATGAGGTGTACTTGCAAGACACTCTGATGCCAAAGTAAGTAATGAACTAGAGTGGGAGCAATTACAGAAGGGAGATAGATAATTGAATACCTGACCCTCTAGTGAAGAGAGAGTATTTATAGAGAGACCCCAGCGCAGGATCAATAGTCACTTGTGTTGGGTTGGATTGTCGGGCCCAACCCAGGTGACTGCTAGGGCTTACGTGGCGTAGTGAAGACCAGCACGTGGTCTTCGCCCTAGTTCAACCGTCCCGTGATCTCCGGAAGGTGGGCTGACCAGCTCTTTCGGAGGTGGGTAGTTGGCTGATGACGTGTCCCCGCGGAGGGGAGCACGTGAAGAACGTGTGGAAGACGTGTGGTTCTGCCCGACGGAGGGAGGTTGCCTGCCCGACGTGTCTAGAGTCGTGCCCGACACTGGGGTTTTTGGGCCTTATTGGCCCTTTCCCTAATAGTATTGGGCTGTGCCTGCCCGACGGATGGACAGGTCTGGGCCCAATCCAAAACAAATTCTTTTCCGTATTTTTGTAAAAAATGGATGTTTCAAAAATTTTAGAATTTTTTTATTTTATTTTTGAAAGAAAATTTTATTTTTAATTGTTTTTACTCTCAAAATATTTTATATTTTTATTAAAAATTAATTAATTAATATAATTAAAGTTGTTTCTGAACCGATTTTAAATTAAATTTACATTATTTAAATTTAATGATTTAGTTCATTAACTATATAAATAATTAATTTTTTTATAATGCAATACAAATCAATTTAAATATACAGTTAATCATATTTTTTATTATCCTAAGATACTCTTTATAAAGTATTTATCAACATATATACATTAAAATCTTCAACAAAAATTAAACATAGCTCAGTTTACGCAGTATTTATGAATCAGAAAAATCTACATGTCAAATAGATATTTATTAAAAATATTTAGAATTAATCTAAAAACTAGTATCATCGATTGATTTGATTGTATTCATGTGACACAAATACATAAATGTTATTAGTATCATCTATGTCAATTATTTTATTAAAAAAACAATTATATTTTATTGATATTGATATTATTAATTTAAAATATTAAAAAAATATTATAAACTACACGTTTATAATGAGATAGATTAAGTATTGAGAAGATTCTAAACAAAGTAAAGTTAAAATGCACAATTATACTATTAAAAATGAAAATGTATTTGTTTGAGTTTTCAACCAAATACATTTTTTGAGTTTTGTTAAGTTCTTTGAATCCTCCGTTCTTCCAATGAACGAGTGAATGCATTTTCCAAGTGATTGGCTATTCCTGAGTTCCAATCAAACTCAGAATTCGCCAAATTCCTTCGCTTAGTTCTTCTAATCCAATTCCCATAACCAACAACAAACTCAAAATTGAAAAAAAAAAACCTTATAGACATGGCAATTTGGGTATTCGGGTACGGTTCTTTGATCTCAAAAGCTGGGTTTAACTACGATGAACGTCTCGTTGGTTTCATCAAAGATTACCGACGTGTCTTCTATCAAGGTATATCAATTTTTTTCTCACTCTTTACGTATTCAATTTTTTTTTTCTTTAATGGCGTTTTCACTTTTAGGTTCTACTGACCATAGAGGAACCCCTGAATTCCCTGGAAGAACAGTCACATTGGAGCCTGCTGAAGGAGAAATTTGTGTAAGTCTTTTTATTCTCAACTTCCATAATTCATCACTTGACTTGCTTAAATGTAATTTGGAAAACAAAATAATGAATAAATTGAACGTAATCACATGTGTCCGTGTCTAACACGGACACATGTCAGACAATGTGACAGTGAGTTTTAGTTAGTCTTTTAAGAATATCAAAATAGAGCTTAGATGGTAGCTGTATAGAAACATCGAGTGCAGTGCAGGAGCGCGGGTTTGAATTTGGGATATCCCAGTTGTTCATCTTTAATAAGGTGAACTCCAGCGACTCAGCTACATTACAAAAATAAAATAGAGTTTATTCTGTTTTTGTTATTGTAAAAGTAGAATTGCATTTCATCTTTTGTGCATTCCTGCTTCCACAGTTAACTTTTATCCCTTCACTTAATTACATTGCTTTCTAAGTATTTTTTGTTTTTAGCTTTTGATTATTTTGTGGATTTTTCTTGTAATATTATTTGCCATTCTTTTGTGAGTCATTCATTTTGATTGTGATCAATATTTGAAATGATTCTCTGCTTTGCAAGGAGATAGTGGGGAGCTGCTTATAAGATCTCAAAGAAAGAAGATCAAGAAATTGCGTTAACGGTAAGTTTGTTAAATGTGTTTACATCTAATACATTTGTTTGCTTTAACTAGAGTTTGAACTTTTGACCTAGAATTGGTTCAACAGAATTGGTTAGTCTAGAAATCAACACTTCACTGCCAAGTCCCAAGAGGCTTTCTATTTTTCTATCTTTCTTCATCAAATTTCACAATTGTCTTGTATTTGTATGTAATTACTGCACAGTATCTGGAAGTGAGGGAGAAGCAATATGACCGGAAGGAATATGTGGATTTTTTCACTGTAAGTGTCATAGGATAAGATATTTTAAGGAAAATGAGTTGCAGCATTTTGTTCTTCTCTGTAATAGTAGTTCTTCCACTAACGAAGGTTGGCATCTACTGATTTTTTTTCAGGAGCTTAATGCGACAACGCCAGCCATTTCTGGGGCATTGGTGTAAGTGAAAGAAACAACATTACAACTTTTTCACTTTTTGCATGTGTTGCTCATGACTAATTAGATCATTGTGGACACTCCACAGATATATAGCATCCCCAAACAAGAACGTTAATGTCAATTATTTAGGTCCTGCATCTGTTGAAGAAATTGCAAGGTATTTATCTTCCATCCCGAGTATTGTTAATTACTAGTGTCATTTTGTTGCATAAACTTAACCTTTACTTGTGTATTCATTATTATATAATTGCCATTGTTTGGAGATCCTGGCTTCGGAAGATTTATGAGTTAATCTCTTATACGCTGTTATTGTTTAACTAGCATGATACTGAAAATTGAAAAGGTGATAATTAGTTTGTTTTGAATAGTTAGTGTTACAATACATGACTGAAGAGACCGCTTCTCAAAGTCATGGGCAAGTTCTACGGTGGACGGTGGTTTCACCTTAGATAAGTACTTGACAATCATCTGAAACTCTAACAATGACTCCCGTTGGCTTCCCAAAGGTGGAAGTATACGGATCTACCCGTTGTAACATCTATGATAGTAACCTGATTTTTGTTTTTCATACTACAGGCAAATAGTTCAAGCTGAAGGTCCTTCTGGACCTAATAGAGAGTATCTTTTCCTACTTGAAAAGGCTCTCCTTCAAATAGGTGAGAATCTTCAACTCGAGTTTCACTTTCACTGGTCATCTTAATTATTCTCTTTGAAATTGTTTTGTATTGATCATCTCTTAAGGTTCCAAGGACAAGCATGTTATTGATCTCGCAAATGAAGTCAGGCGAATTATTTCAGAAGAACACTGAATGCTTCAGTGTTGTTAGCACCAGAAATTCTGAGACTTTTGAGCAGACCCTTTATTTGTAATCCATTGGAAACTTCAATTCTTTCAAGAATGTTATTGAAGGATACTATTTATCTTTAGTTTAGTTATGCCTATAAATATAATCTTTTAATGTAATAATATGTTGTTTCTGTCTTGGATATGAACAGCTGAGTAGAAGTGGAATCAAACATACACCAATGTTAGAGTAGAAATAGCTCAGTGATTACTCTTGTTGGTCCTAATTACAAAAACAAGAATCAATTCTTAAGAGTTCATTATTGGAACTCGTTTGAAACCTAAATGATCTTCCTTGATATATTTTCTATTTCTGAAAAAATTAGAGGAAACATTTTTGTATTTGTGTATTACTTCAGGTCCTTTTTACTCTTATTTACATATTTAATAAAATTAATGAATATGATTACATTTGATGTGATAGATTATTTCCTAGGTTCAATGTGAGTGTGACACGGTAGTAAATTGATTTGTGTATTAAAGTATGGTGGTTGATAGTTTAAAAGCTCGAGTCAATAGTTGATCTCCTCCGATTATTTTAACATCAGAAATTTATTTATTTATTTTTAATTTCTTTTATTTGAAATAATTTTTGTATATTCAATAATTTGATAATCAAAACTTTACTTTTTAAAAATAAATAAATAGAATAACACAGATTTTAACGTGTCATTTTTTTTTTTAATAATATGCATACAATTATGATTGAATTGAATTAATAAATACAATAATCAATTTAAAATGTATTTGATTTAGAAAATTGTAAAGTTCGGTTTGTTATTAGAATTTATAATATAAGAAAATTTGATGTTGTAAAAAAGTCTCTTGTTTTTTTCTAATAAATTTGCCACCTCACTAAAATGAGGGTAATTTTGATCCAAATATTACTTTTTGTAACTAATGATGTCGTTCTATTCCAAGTTTCAACTACATTTATTGTATTATGCATTTAAACAAAATTTTACTTTATATCTTATGACTCTTTTCTTTCTTCCAAACAACAACACACCCCCCCCCCCCCCCCCCCCCCCCCCCCCCCCCCCCTCTATATATATTCCTTCTTCCTCTTTTACAGATCGTAATGATGATCTTTCAAAAAATAAATTTAGATCTGTTATCAACAATATTGCTTTCAAAGCTCTAAATAAAGTGATTGCATATTTTTTGATTTTGTATAGATTTGTATAAATCTGCTCTAACGTTTTGATTTTTAGGTTTATTGTTTTATCTTTTTTAGTTTTCCACTTAGCTATACTTGCTCTGGCGATGTTGTTCTTATGGTCAAATGCATCTAGTTTCATCAACAAGTAAGTTGCTTTTACTGTGATTCAATTTGGGGTTTTGATGTATTCCTTTTCTGTTAGTTGATTGCATTTTCATGTTTTTGATTTTTATTAGGATTTTGATTTTGATTGAAGGGCTGACAAGTATGTTGTAGTTGGGTTTCTCTGATGCTGTTATATTCTGATTCATAATTTTATTTTTTTAGGGTTTATTAGTAGACATTACCGGAAGGAATGCTTTATGTTTTTTTAGGGTTTCCTGTATTAGGTAATATGAAATATGTATTTAACTTTTCTACATTACTTAAGGTTTTGTTTCTGTTATATTTTCACAGATATTTGGGCGAGCTGTGAGACCACAGTTTGATAAAAGTGATAAATGTATCATATGTGAGGGCAAGGTGCCTTAGCCTTATTTTAATGATGTCAAAACGTGTAGTAGCTCGTACGTTGTAATTTGGACGATGTCATCGCATGTTAGTTTATATTCATGCTTTACAATGCACAAAATAGTCTAAAATCATGTGTCTATACATATAAGAGCATGTCATATATGTTTTGTGCGTATTTGATCTTATTAGGAAACTTAGGATTGCATAAACATAGGTTAGGTAGATCAAAACATGAGCAAAAACTCATTTTGAGAGTTTAAGGTGGTTGACTCGACTCAAAGCCCTGCTTAGGTCGACTTATAAAAGTTAATTTTCATTCATTTGCTCTCGGGTATGCGCACGCCGACCCTTGGATCGACTCATACTGTAAGAATTTATATTTGCCTATTTTAAGCAAGCTTGTGTCGACGCATGGCACTATTCTGGTCGATGCATAGCTTATATTTTTGCATAGTTTTGCTCTCGAGTCTGCTTAGGTCGACCCCCCTTTAGCATAGGTCGGTCGTTCGCTGACTTATGCATTTTTTTCTGATATGTTATGGTTTGAAATGTTGTTATTTTTTGTTAGTTGGTCAAGACATCATATATATTCATTTTGTTCTCATCATCTCCATCCTCATTCTTGCATTTTCTCAACAATTACGCATAACAATTTTTGTTGATCTTTTGCATCATTGAGGTGATAAAATCCAAACGTAGAATTGTGTATCTCATTTTGGGTTGAGATTTTGGTGGGTTTTTCTTGAATAAAACTGTTAGAGTTTTGTCCTCCAAGATCTTAAGGATTTGGGGGTTTTTGCACAAATGTTTGCTTCAAAGATTCAGTCAAGTGAAGGGGATTGAAGAATGGCGGGTTCGTTCAATCAAGTAGCGTTAACCGGAGGATTGTGTAAGGAATATTTGGGTTCGAACGGTGTGTGATCAAAATCAGTCGAGTGAAAGGTTTGAAGACTGGTGGGGTTGTTCAAATAAATAGAGGTAACCGGAGGTTTGTTCAACACGCTCGAGGCACTTGATTTGACTTGAATCAAGGGGAGAGAAGACATAATATCAACATCAATACCTAAGTTTAAGTGCGTGGTGACTATTGATTTTCTTGTATAAACTTTTGCAATAAGATAATGCATATCTCAATTATAGTTTTAGAATTGGGGGCAGACGTACCCTAAGCGAGGATGAAAGGGGAACTGCTTAAACAAATCTGGTGTTGTTCTCTCTTTCTCTATCTCTTTATTTTGGAATTGTTAACGTTTGTGTAATATTAATTGATCGATAAAATTCCGCTGTAGTGTAGTGCTGAAAATATGATTTGAAAATTCATTACAATCACGTGGATTGTAGTTGCAAAAATTATGAACTTACATTATATAAGAAACAATACTTGGAGTGTTTTGCACACCAAGTATTCGATGACAAACTAGCATATTAGTTCACACCATTCTGAAAATAGTTTTTGATGTTTGTTTTTATGCATCAAAATATTTCTATTGACAATATTCTTCTGTGTTTTAGGTGATGACGGATATTTTGTTAGCAGTTTTGTTACAATAAGTCAATCATAAATATTTTGTTTTGAGTTTTTTTTACTTCGATGAAGAAATTCAACTGATTGAAATAATTTGCTGCAGAGTTCATTCTAACTTTTTTACTTCTAGAATTTGTTGAACTTATCGCAGACCCTTTAGTGCACAAACAAAGTATCAATTGGATAGTGTACTTGCTTTATTAATTTAGCTTCTCCTTCGTCCAGTAGTCTAATGTGCTTTCGTTTTTCAACCATGTAGAATCAGACCATTTGTACAAATAACTTTTTGCAGCAAGAAAGAGATTTATTAAATTCGAGCTTCAATCTTTGGATCAGCAGTATTCTGGAATCGATTCTTATCTCAAACACTTAAGGTATGTCAAGGAGAAAATATCAGACACTTGATGATATTTTTATTGATTCAAATATTTTTATAAATATTATCAATACAAAAATAATTTTATATATGATAAAAAATCTACTATTGATTCAAATATTTTTATAAATAGTGTCAAAATAATATTAATATTTATACACGAAAAAAAAATACATGGTTGATTAAAATATTTTTATATAGAGGAGAAACTATTAATGTTATAAACAGAAACAACTTTACTATCGATTCAAATATTGTTATAAAATTGTCAACAAAAAAAAAATTGATTCAAATATTTTTATATACGAGAACAACTTTACTATTGATTCAAATATTTTTATAAATAGTGTCAAAACAAAAATAATATTTATATATGAAAAAAATACATTGTTGATTAAAATATTTTTATATACGAAAAAAAATACAAATGTTATATACGGGAGTATCTTTATTATTGATTCAAATATTGAATAATAGAAATTTGTCAACCATATTTTTCAAATATGTGACAAAGATTAAGGGAACTTATTAAAAAATATTGAGTGTATATTTTAAAATTGTTTTCTCTCTTATAAAATCATTGTCTTATTTGTAAAAAAATCTAAAACGACTGATTTATCTAAAATAAATTTCAATAGTTTTTATTTTTAATCATGTTATTTATAATATTATTGTTTACATTTCATATTCTACATTTATTACTATTTCAACTTAAACTTACTATTATTCTTTAAAAAAAATTCAACTTCCAATTTTTATAACAGTTTGAAAACAAATACGCGGCCAAAACCACCTCTCACACAAAAACGTACCATGTGTGTAGGCACGAGTTTCTTACTAGTTATTTTAAAAAAACATATTCAAATATTTATTATTTTAAAAGAAAATAGAAAATGCAGTGTAAAATAATTTTATAATGACAATTAATGATCATATGCGTATTTTGTCTTTCCTCTAATTTTTTCAAGAAGTTATTTCAATCTAATGATCAATGTGATCGATATAGCCTCTTACTTCATATTCATTACATTCCTTAAACTCCAGAGATTCTTCATAATACTTTTCTATAACCGGTATCTAGTAGGGAAGTTAAGGGTGTTATTTACTCTATCTCTGTACAAAGTACTAGTTTATGATGAATTTCAATCCATTTTCTTTACTACATATTGGCATATTATAAGAGATGATGTTTGAAAATTGGTGTCTGGTGTTTTTTCTTTTAGTCACATCCCTGGTGATCATCTCGAGACCCTTATCATTCATATCATAAAATTGACGAATTTCAAAGTCTCTTTGATTTTATACCCAATAGTCCATATAATGTTCTTCTTAAACTTGTCTCAAATGTCTTGGTTCAGCGTATTAGACCGCATTTGGAAATTCTCATTA